AAAAAAAAAAAAAAAATGAAAACAAAAAAAAAATATCCTAATAAAACTATTCCGATTCTTCTTCGTAAAATGCAATTACTCTGATTATTCTATTAATATTCTCCGGAAGAATGTATTTGTAAATGTAGAGAATGATAATGGTGATGATGATGATGATGATGATGATGATGATGATGAAACATACGCGGTGAAAAATAAATTATTGTATATACATGTAATCAATAAAAAAAAAAAACGCGATGTTATATTATTCAACTGTCAATACATTTATTTTACATATAAATCGAACATTCCCACACACGCACACACAAAAAAAAGTGAGTAGTAAATATAATTAGTTAAATGTTTTTTTTTTTTCAAAGTATGAAATGAATGAACAATTTATTATTCGTTTATATATAATTGACATGTTATAATAATACACGAATTATAACACGCACGAAGGTAAGATTACTTTAAAATGTATTATTTATCGATGCATTATTTGAAAAATTGACTTGCATACAAGAAAAAATGAAATAAATCGCGATCGTCGTTAGAGATTATATTATATTTAACAAAGCCATTAATATTTTTTTTTCACACAGGAAAATTTTAAATACAACACTAAATTATAAAATAAAAAAAGAAACAAAGTATTATATTATACGATATTAATGAGCACACGCATATACACGCAACGTTATTATATAACAAGAGAAGAACAAATTATTTTGATTAGATTATTTTTGGATGAATTTCGAATAGACAGAGAGAAAGAGAGAGATAGATTATTATTATTATTCAACGTAATATGATTACCGATGATGAGATATCCGCGAGATGAATGAGATGAACAGGGAAGAAAGATGAGGTGAGACGACACGGGTGAAGTGTGGGAGGGGGTGAGGGTGAGGGGGTGGGATGGTATCACATCTACGTCGTCGAACTATGTGTGTGTATGTCAATTAAGTGGAAAAACGTGTTGATTTCACGCATGGCTCGGAATTACCGAGCACAATGGAGATTGTTTAAAAGCGCTTTGTTGCCGGGAATGGGAAATACGGACCACCGCCGGACCTGGGGGCTTCATTTCTTTCTCTGATGCCCGGAACCCTCCTCTTGCGAGAGACAGAGAGAGAGAGAGAGAGTGAGAGAAGAGTCGCTTTATGTACGTGCGTGTAATAAAAAGGATTACACCCCTGCCTTCTATTTCTATCGACGCCGTGGTGGATTTAATAGGATGAACTGCAGTTTCGTGTACGCGTTGGTGGCCTCTCGTCGTTTTCTCTCTTTCTCTATCTCTCTCTTTTTTTTTTTTTTTTTTTTTTTTTTTTTTTTTTTTTTTTTCCGTGTTTTTTTTCGTTTTTTTTTTTGTTGTTTCTTCTTAATTTTTTTCCTTATAGGATGTTACAATGCGATCGAATCAAGCAGCCTATCGATTCCTTAGCGTCGATTACAAAACTGGTNCCTGCCTTCTATTTCTATCGACGCCGTGGTGGATTTAATAGGATGAACTGCAGTTTCGTGTACGCGTTGGTGGCCTCTCGTCGTTTTCTCTCTTTTTCTATCTCTCTCTTTTTTTTTTTTTTTTTTTTTCGTTTTTTCATTTTTTTATTCCGTGTTTTATTTCGTTTTTTTTGTTGTTGTTTCTTCTTAATTTTTTTCCTTATAGGATGTTACAATGCGATCGAATCAAGCAGCCTATCGATTCCTTAGCGTCGATTACAAAACTGGTTGTACTTATGGGTATCAGAGGATCGATCATGTTTTCTTTTTTGGTTCTTTTTTTTCTCCCCCTATAGCTTGATCTCATTATCATCAACTTATGAGAAAATTTTATTCATTGATTAATAATTTGTCTCTTTTTTTTTGATAGTATTAATTGCATACTTATTATATTATATAATTCAATGTCAATTATATTTCTTCGTATCATTATACATTATATTCAATATTTCAAGAAATTTCATTTTTTTTTTTGGCTTATCAACACGTTGCTCGATTATATTAAATAACATTTTAAACGATAATTTATACACGTGCGAAAGAATTGTATTCGAAATATCGTTTCTTATTGAAGTTTATTCTGAAAGTAATGAAAATAATACTTTTGTCAAATGAAAAAAAATATGATTTTAATATATATATATATATATATATCTAAATAATTAACAGACAAGATTTTAATTTAATTGAATATTATCGGATCGACACAAAACGTATCAAGAAAAAGCTATCCCCCGAGAGTATTGTTGCTTCGAATTAATACGGTTCTATTCTATCTGTTTTTTTCTTTTAATCGTAGAGAGACATTTTGCGAAATCTAACGTTACGACAAAGGTTTTTTTTTCGGATCAACGTTTGAAATGATAGAAGTATGCTTGCGGTATGATTAGAAAGATCCGTGGCACACTCTCCAACTGTCCGCAAATATCTTTTTCGAGCATGAAATTGACGAAACGGATACTCATTTACGGTCGTGGATAAAATGGAATCCCAAAAGAAAAATAGATATCTATTTTGTGTATATATGTGTGTATGTGTGTTTGTGTTTATGTGTTAGAGAGAGAGAGAGAGACAGAAAGAGAATCTTTTAACACTAACTGCCGGATGTTGTGGTTTCGATTACGTATTGAACTCTTTCTCTTTCTCTCATTCAATGCTCCCACTATATTTTTTTGAGAATACAACTTTCATGATAGCCGTACAGAGAGAAAGAGAGAGAGAGAGAGAGAGAGAGAGAGAGAGAGAGAGAGAGAGAGAGAGAGAAAGAGAGATCGGCAATCCGGGAAAACATCGAATCGAAGATTTTACGGTTGGCGATTATGGTAAAGACTCTGGTGTATTCTGCAAAGATCATTTTCTTCTGATGTCCTCCGTTATTTCGCGGTGACAATCTATTTTGCGGTATTTTTTGTTTCTTCTCGGTCGATCTAAAACTTTTCATTTTCTAACATTAGTTATAATATCGTAACGTATAATAAATATATCCAAAGATACAAGTGGTATTATTATTTACACACATATTCGTATTATTGAAAAATTAAAAATGAATATTTTTAATATATATACTTTTCCGTTTATAATAATAATTTATTATACATTCTAAAAGTAGTATTATGAATTGTGGGGTATTTTAACTCTCAAGTAGTCTACTTATTGTCAATCAAAATATCGAAGAGACGTGCGTGCACGTTGTAAAATTAATTCTACCAAAGAAGGAAGATCACGCAAAGAGGAAAAAGAAAAGAAGAAGAAGAAGACGAAGAAGAAGAAAGAAGAAGAAAAAAAAAAAAGAAAAATAAAACAGAAAACAAGACGCGATATGATCTTTCTCTCTGAACGACGAGCCACGAAGAAAACTAAAAGATTTTCGTGCTTGAAAGGGAGGAGCATAAGAATGGAATTGCCGAAGAGAAGAGCATAAGGATAAAATAAAAAAAACAAGCCGAGTGTATGCGTGTGTGTATGTGTGTGAAAAAGAGAAAGAGAGAGAGAGAGAGAGAGTGCAGGTAAGAAAGAAGGAAAGAGTAAGGGTATCTCGACTTGTAAGTCCTTGCATCGTTATTGATGCTATTACAACGCGAGTCTCTCTTTCTTTAACGCGGCTTCGAACGCGAGAACTTAACAAGGCTCGAAGCAAATCCGCGCCGACATAAAAGGACAAAGATGGTTGGAGGAGAGTGTACGTAGGTGCTGGCTGTGGTAGCACAGGATAAAGAGTACCTT